GACAACAGTCTGTTTGCATGGAAGCGCCGACTCCGTCCACGTGTGGCCCTGATTGTTTGTCTCAACGATTTATAGACCCAAGACACTCCCTGCTAGTCGCAACGATTGGCAAATACGACCAACGTAGACGAAATAGAAGGCACTATGTTTGAACGTTAAATACAGTGGCGTCTCACGGTGCGCTGAACGACCAAGATGGAATCGTGTGGAAGCAACGCGCGTCAACGGTCAGTAAAACAAGACGTGACGCAAAACACGAGTGACAAAGTAGGGTCATTACAAGTTTCACCGCTGCTAAATTTCGATCGCTGCCCTCGATAGGCCTGTCGCTCTGGAACCCACCTTACGTATATTCCGTTGATCAAGCCGGACCTAAACGTGTAACCATCATTTCGCACCATTCGAATTCTCAGTGCAACTAGTGAGTGTGTAGTGGTTGACAGTTGTCACCGTCTTTGGTCTGCCTATTCTACATGGTTGCTTGGAGCATTCGCTCATGCATTCTCCTTTCTAACGTGGATTCTTCCAGGATCGTCGATATCCTGGAGCCACTTCTTCAGCTAGATCTTTTATCTTTGTTTAAGTCACTGCCATGTCCGGTGAAGTAACTTAACTTTAAACGGTGTGTGAGTTCAGCGCTTGCTAAGCGTTTCCCCTCCAGGTGCTCTCGGACGGAGTCAGGCTAAACTTCCAGTGCTTTTAAGGGGGCAATTTATCTTTTCTTGACTAACTGGTTGTTATTCCTGATACCTACCGGGTTATTGAGAATCATGGGATATTTGAGACCGATCGCTTCCACAGGTCGTGAGGTAGTATGTCCATCTTTAAACGACGGTAAAACGTCCTCGATATGTCGTTGGCTATTCTATTGTATAGGAACATAACGGATACAACAGGTTTATTTTCCTGTCTACATTATGAGGCGAGTTTTCACGAAAATGGAAAAGGTGTCCAAGATGGTAATTTAATTACGAACTATATGAAGGTAGGGTTTATTCAACTGACATTTTTAAAAAGGCCTTTTCTTCTTGTCCTTTTAACTTTTCTCAAGTTTTTCCTAGTAGATCCGTGTACACAGAAAGTGATCATCGAAGCACAAACTAGTTGCACATTCACCTAACACTGGTGTAACTAGCAGCAGGACAAGTTCAGTTTTCAACCAACTCCGTGTAATTTAGGACTATCAGAAGATGGGTACACAATCATGTCTTGTCAGAACCAAAAGAAGTTCAGATATCGAGGAGCAACTTAAACATTTTATCAAGTGTACCGGTGAGGTTGAGCATATTTCGCCCTTATTTGTCGATAGCAATCTTCCAGGGGAATTTTCTTTCTTAGATATTGCAATTTGGGCACTTCCAGAATTAAGTTTTGCTTTCCTATAATCGTGCTTTTAATGAACTCGAAAAGACCACATCGGTACAATTCCCACGGTGAGCTTTTCAGAACGCGCTTGCTCAGTTCTGATCTGATCTAATTTTAGATTTTCGTTGCCATTGCTAAAATAATAACCTGACAAGCTAGCAGTAACTCACTTTCAACATTCCGAATACAAAGATTCTGCAATCCCAAAACTTGGATCTATCCCTCCTGGATTGAATATCAAGAATGGGCGTGAGCGAACATTAATGGAAGTTTCTGACAAACATTAGAAATTACGTAGCCACTAAACATATCAATTTCTTCGTAAATTATTTCCTTAAAGAATTAGTACCAATTTCCCGGGGGGGGGGGCTGAGTCTCGTCATTGTGATTGCATCCCGGCAAATAACTCCAAATGTTCGTTCAACGTTCCTCTCTTTATGGAATTTGCCAAGTTTAGTATTAAGCGATGCTACGTGCATCAACAATTTGCTTGAGCTTCTCCGTTGTTTACGACGTTCGCTTCCAGTCGCCACGCTCGCATCGGTTGGTCGCTTGGCGACTGACTATGGTAGTGATAATGTCTGGACGAAACGCTTCTGCTTGCATAGTGGGGGCTCAAACAGTTCGATCGCAATTGCTTCAGCCGTGCAAAGAAGGATGAAGCGTACAGATTTAGATGATAACGGTGGAATACGATAACAAGGTCTACCGCACAAAAGATGAAACAATATTGAATTTAGTATTAAACATGTGCACAACTGCTGGTAATTCCAGCTGGTAGCAGAAGAAAGTATCTTAGAACAAAGTTTACAAAGCATTAAACATTTTATCAAGGAATGTTTCATGAAAACACATGAGCATATCTCGCGATTGAATGTGGCTGAAAGCGCGTCGAAAATACTTTCCGGAAATACCCCGTGATCTGTAGATAAAAGGTACTTTCACCTTTGACCTACAAGTCCCCTTCCTTTCAAAACAAGCTTTTGTTTACCAGGTGCAATTACTCTTTACGCTCAATCGCGGTGAGTCAAGCTACTTCCTTGCAAGTGTAAGCGTGGACCTACAGGTCTCGATCTAAAAACCGTTGGTCCCTCGTTGTCCGTCTCCTTGCGCGTTCAGAACAATTATATTATTCCTCTTCACTGTATTCACAAACTTTGAGGTAACTCGTAGATAGCGCTAGCTATCTAAAAATCTACGGAAATTATTTAGCACACCGATTACAACTGGACCTACTTTGTACCTTCAAAAAGGACTGGCCTCCCATTGCGTTACATCCTGTCCAAAACGTGTGGGTTGATTTTTGTTCTTTTGGTGTAGTAAATCAGGTGTGTGGGAGAGACGCGGCACATATTGCGACGTGCGCAATGTCAACATTTCCGGTGGGATGTTCTAAATGCGCTAATATAGTGTCACGAACTACTTCTCACTCTACACCAGACTTTATAGTGACTATGATTAAGCGAAGACAAGAAGCAATCCACGAGGACGTTTTCCGATCATAGTTTCTTCACAATCAACTCTAACTCCAACTGTGATATTTCTTTGTTTTACTTCTGTTTGTTTTACCGAGCACGGTTTTCTGCTCAGGCGTATATATAAGCCGGGTCCTGTTCAAACCCATGCTACACGTGTGACACGCTTTCGCTTTGCTACTGCATTTATTGCTTGCATTGTTTATCGTCACCTTGGCACGTTTCGCTACTATCTAGTACAACGATTCGCCAATAAACGTTTACGACTCCCACGAGTGTTTTTGTCTACCTCGAGCAACGAGACACTAGGAGGTCGCGCGCATTTTTAGACTCGTAAGAAGACTTACCGGCAGGTCGTCAACACCGGTTAGCTTCAATCTTCTCCGTCTTCAATCTTATTGTTTTATCTCCTTGATACCAATTGATTGATCGGTGCATTGGACTTCACATTCCTCACTTGTAGTGGCTTGAGACCGATAGTGTAACAAGCTTGAGAGTTGTCACCATCTTTGTCTGCCTGTTCCGCA